CAATGCCAGGAGCGTTAAAATCCCCAACGATAAGGAAGTCTTTCTTCTCGCTAGCTTGGTACAGTTCGGATATGAGCATGAGATCTTTGTCAGAAGTATGGTTAGGTGAACGGTACACTACCGAAAGCGTCAATGATCGGACATTCTTAGTAGATATGGTAACGCTTAGCAGTTCCACATCCCGTACCGGTCTATGTACATCAGCCATAGCGCTTAGCTTACAAGTGACATAAATTATGACTCCTCCTCCTCGGCTTAGTCTATCTCTCCTGAATTGCTGATATCCTTTAAGTGATATTTCTGAATCTGCGATATCTTCAGTAAGCCACGTTTCTGTGAATGCCATAATGTCTGGCTTAATTTCATCAACTAAGTCTCTTAGTTCATCTAGTTTGTTGAAGAAGCTTTGCACATTTGCGGATATAACCTTCAATGACTGATTTGTTGGAGAGGCCCGGCCTTCATTGTGACGGGTTCTGACCACAGGAAAGACCCCTTTGTCTGGACTATTTGTCCATTTTTGATCTTCAGCCCTTTTTCTCCTCTGCCAATTCTCTCCTTCAATTCTGATCTCAGTTCTCTCATTTTCAGTCTTTCCCTCGGTTCGTAGTCTGGTTGAAAAAACACTTCCTTGTGCGAATTGCTGCCCCGTCCGCGCTAGGACGATATAATGCTACTGTAGTATTCCCGACGGCTGTTGTCACTTCAACATTTGAATGATTTTCGGCCGGCGAAGGGGGTATAGGGCATGGATTTTCATGTGACGTACTTGCTCCGGCAGTGGAGCTCTTACAATCATTACCCTGTTGCAATGTACTGCACGAAGGCTTATCGTGTACTTTTCCATAAACGGAATGGTTAGGGCACTTTCCAGATGAGTTAGCCTTGTGAAGAAGTGGAGTAACAGCATTGCCTTCCAAGAATAAGGGCGAGTCCTTGTGGTTTCTAACAGATCTTCGCCAGCTGACATCTCTGAGTATAAGAAATACTGGACGAAGCTTGAGAGAACAGTTTCCGAGTGAAAACCCTCTGAACATTTTCGATTTTATTTCGGTCGCAGGCGTTCATTAAACCGAAGAAAGGACAGCAATATTCGAGGACTGGAAGAACAAACATTTGATAAAGTCTTAGCTTCATTTCCGGAAGGAAAAATTATGCGATATGAATCCACATATCTGCGCGGCTTTGGCAGAGATTCTATCTGCATGAGGTAATAAAGCAAGTTTATTTGTATAACTTAGACCTAGGTCCTTTATGGTTAGGCATTCTGAGAGTGGGTTATTCTGAAAAATTATGGGACCAGGAAGTTTGCTAGGACCAAAAGACATGAAACTACACTTGGATGATGAAAACTCCATCTGCCATGTCGAACCCCATCTGCTTAAGCGTAGTAAATCGGCATTAATTTTTCCAACACAAACATTTGCGGTGTCCTTAGAGTATGAGTAAACACACTTGAGGTCATCGGCATAAGT